ACTGGCATTTCGCTAACATCCAAATGCACTCCCCATGATTCCCCCCCTCCCCCCCCACCTCTCACCCTTCCCCACCCACGTTTCAGCTCATCTCACTGTAGCTAAGCCTGATGACGCTTATCGCCGTCCTTTTGCTGCCTTTGTCCCAAGGCCAGTAAAAGCTGGAATCTGGCTCCAATCTGAACAGATTGACGGGATTCTTAGCTTTTAGATACATCCTTGAAGGCAGAACTCTTTTTGGTTGAAATCTACTCTTGCCTTGGGGCCCTTCCAAGTAGATTTGTTGCACTATTTCCTTTTCCTTTTTGCATGAGACATTGCAAAAGCCGATTTTCTTGTGGCAAGCTGTTGTGTGTTAGTGTGTGTAGGGTTTCTCCTTACCTTGTTTTCCCGTGCATGTCTTGTTCAGTGTTGTGTGTTTTATGGGGAAAAAAATGACATGGTGAAAATAATGATGATGATGTGAACGCTAAAATAATTGGCTTATTAATTAAAAATCACCTTGTGATCATTGAGTTTCACGGTTGAACACGGTTTAAAGTCAGAGTAAAGCAGACAAAACAAAACTCTGGACATGTAAAACATCGTGGAAACATATGGTACAGTAAAACATACAAGATAAAATCAATCTCTGAAAACCTAGCATGAGTTTCCAGTAAACCTTAAAACCTACGATATCAGGACAGTAGGACTGTACTTGTATAGCACCTTTCTATCTTATCGAAACACTCAAAGCGCTTTACTACACATGTGCCCTCAGTTACCCATAGCACTTTACTAGATCTCTACAAAGCTAATTGAACAAATCATTCTAAAGAGACTAATCAGTGCTTTATCACATTCATACACCAATGGGACACACTTCGGCATGTGACTGCTGGTGGATTCGAACCCCCAACTCTTGAATTGGAGGACGAATGCTCTAACCACTCAGCCACAGCCACCCCAAATCCACAATATCCACAAGCTTATTCTAAACTATGTTCAGGGGTTGATTCTCAGATACCACCAACATCAACTAGATCATTGTCAGACTGACCAAGTTAAAACTAGGGATACGATATTGGATTTTTGGCCGATATGCCAATATGTTAAAACTTATTTGGCCGATCGCGATACCGATATTTTATATACGTTCCTTTGTCAGAACATTGCCCTCTTATTTGGGCTTATTGGCTAGAAAAACTGTGTAAGAGCTGGTGACATATATTCAGTAACAGCCATATGATATGCATAGCACTTTAACTTATATTAAATGAAAAGTGTTAAATGTTATTAGCATTAGTCACCTGCGATGCTGTCTCACTTGTGGAGGCTTGTTCCAGGTTCCTATAGCTGCAGTGTAGGATCCTCTGCACTCTTGTGCATGAAGGACGGCCTTTTTAAGTTCAAAGTTTTTGTCTATCCATTGTGCCGTAAGACTAATCATGCTAACGGGGCGAACACTTGACGTCCAAATGTCTGTGGTAAAACTCACCAAGCGCTATCGGCTATTAGCTTCTCAATGACATCGGAAATGACGGCTTGTAACTCGAGTAAGGCTACGTCAGAAAATTATCTCAAACTGGGGACGATGTAGCGAGGCTCAACGTAGTCCAAAAATCTTCGGAATCTGACATCCTCACCAACGGGAAAAAAAAACCTTTCACACCGCCGACATTTTGAATTTTCCTCTCCGCCGTGAGATCAGGTAGGTGCACGTGACGTCATCACATTGTGTCTCCGCTACAGGCTTCCTTGTCACTGGGTTGTCATACAAAACCAGTGCCTTTTATATCCGTGAGTTATTTTGATGGAATGGCCGATGTCCGATATTGAACTTTAATGCTAATATCGGCTGATACCGATACCATGCCGATAATATCGTGCATCTCTAGTTGCAACCATTTTTGTGTTGGACTATGGTCGATTAACTGTGGTGGCCTTCTTGAATCACGTTTATTCCAAAAGTTAACGGTTACAGTCATACATCCAGTTGATTACTGATACTGGTGTGCACAAAAAGGCTCATTGTTAATATTGAGATTTCCTCATGCGATTAATGAAAAGAATCAATCACTGTTGCAGTGGGGTAATCTCAGTTGTATTCTGTAAAGGTTTGTTAAATGTGGGATGAAAAAGACTGTTAGCAGTGATTTTTACCTCGTGATCCCCGTAACAAAGCGTCCACTGGTTGTAGGTACTAAACCGCACAATGATTTTCTCGTGTCAGTGGTTGATGTGTCCTGAATTTAAAGATTGATAAGCAGCAGTGTTGAATGTCTGCCAACTACCTCGTACAGTGTATTTATCTATGGAAACAGTCAAAGGGACTGAAACTAGGTCAGTGATAGCAATGTACAAGAATGAGCCCTTGGGATAAAGAAGTGTGACATAAATGAAGGAGTGGTATGTATTTAGGCTCAGATTTGTTCAGTGAAGTATGCAGATAAAAGATCACCACCATCCTACTTGAATCCAGATATTTATTCTGGAACATCTTCTAAACTCTTTCTGATTGTGCCATTTGGTACAATTCGTATGAGTCTTGAATACTTCTTAAACTTCGGTCTACTGTATTTCCTTAACAACCACAATCTTAGCTTATTTTGGTGTCTGAGTTATAGTGTAGCTTCATTTAACATCTGTAATGCTGCCCTCAGGTTAGGATGAGAACTATTAGAATTTTGTCACAGAAGGAGGCAGAATTTGTGCGCAGTCCATCTCTGAGCCGACTCACCTGCACAAACTCCATTCCCACACCCAGGCCTCCAGCTATGCCCCCACTCACCGAGGGTTTCGAGTAGGGAGAGGATTATGTTGGCAATAAGCCTAGGGTTCCTGTCAGGGTTCAGGTTTAGTCTTGGCAGTCGGGGCTAAGTTCAGGGTCAAAGGGTGGGGTTATGGTCGGGGAATGGTTTAAAGACAAAGGTCAAAGGGTTAAGTTTAGGGTCAGGGCTTTGGGCCAGGTGTAGCAGTTTGGGTTGGGTTTGGCTTGGGGTCAGAAGTCAGGTTAGGTTTAGGAAAAGGGGTCTCAGGTTAGATTTAAGGTCAGGGCTCTAGGTCAGGTGCAGCAGTCTAGTTAGGGTTAGACTGTAGGTTGGCTTTGCTTTTTACCAATTGAATCCAATTCTTTTTCGTCACAATAATCTTCTCAAGTTTCAGTAATCGGCTGAAGTTTGTGAAATTCTGACCTTCAAGAAAAGATGCGCTTATACGATGGAAGGAGGAAATTTAGTTAGCTGTGTTTTCTGAAGCTATCTGGTATTGTTGGCTTGTTGGTCACTAAACTGTTCAGTGTTCATTAGATGTGTTCACGCAACCAACATGGAGAATTTAAACCTGCCCCAAAACATTCTGACCTAGAATTTTTTTAATTTTTTAAAATCTTGGCTTTTCTTGGGCTAACAGCTCATCAATTTGGTCACATGATTCAGTCACGTAATTTACCTACTAGTAACATATATGTCAGAATCAGACAAGCATAGCAGTGTTTCCCCTAGGTAATTTGCCTCGGCAGGGCACTCGTCTCGATGAGTCAGGTCTCTCTTGTTAATGAGTCTCCAAGGCTCAGTGGGATTAACCTGTCTAAATAAAGGTTGAATGAATTTTGTCCACGGGGGAAGTGGGGATGTGTGAGAGAAGCGGAATGCTACATCTGTAGATTTTAGCTAACACATCTGTATTGCACGCTACTAGCTTAGCGCTACGTCAGTGCCAGCAGTTTTCGACGGGGTGGGGGGTAGTTTGGTAGGCAGGGCAGTGTGCCCTGCGAAACACTTCTATTGTAGACCTTTCATCAGTCACTTTGGCTGTTTCCGCACTAGTTAGCATCTGGCTGTTCACAATTTTAGCTTACAATTTTTAAATTAAAGGTATTAACTGTTAGTATGTGGGAAAAATTTGGGAATCTAGTTTCTTACCTACTTATTTTTATAAATCTCTATGACATTGCAATGAGTATCTTAAGATAATCAGCTTGAATTTTGGTAAAGTACAAAAACTTTCAGCTAGCTGTCTTTTATAAAGCTATCTGTTGTGGTTGGCTTGCTTTGTCTATAAGGAATAGTATTAGGTGGTGGGGTTAGTATTTAGGTGCCTTTTAAGATTTGCACAACGCTGCGCAAATATTTTAAATTTGCCTGTAAAACTCTGAAACAGAAAATCTTTGATCTTTGCTAACATTAGCTCATTAATCCGGTCTGAATTCAATTCTGATTTTTCATATTGAGTTAGCTTAAGAAGCTATCTACAACAGGTAAAAGATTACCGGTAATTGCTCATATCTCCACTTCATTTAACTTCACACTTCTGTAAATCCCAGTTTTTTACATTTATTATCCAGTTATTTTCTCAAACATACAATGTGTTTAACATGCAACCCTCTGAACCTGCTTTACTCTGTCTTTAACCTTGCTTAGTTCTGGTTTTGTGGCATTGCAAAGCCATGTGCAAGCAGTGCCAGAACATGTTGATATACTCTTACAAGAACACATTTGTGACAGAGCACGGTAACATTACAACAAGGATTAAGGAATGCAGTTTTCAAGCTCTTAAAGAAGAAAGCATTTATTTTCTTTATGTAAGAATTAAAAGAACATATTCACTCCAGTACCTTTCATGCCAGATCATTTGTTACAAAAACGAGCTCAGTATTTGTAAAAATGATCAAGGTACAGCTTTTTTTTTTAATTTTTGCTAAGATTGCTTTAGTGTGGTGGCCATTTTGAATCAGTTTGGCTCCAAAGGCTAATCATTTGTAGGTGTACAACCTCTGATTACTTTCTGAGAGTTTTATTAAAATCTGTTCAAATGCTGATTAAGTATTTTTGCTAAACGACAGACGAACAAACAGTTACTGGCAAAATAATATTGGGCGATAATTACACTTTTTATTACTAGTTTGTGCACAATCCAAAACTCTTTTTGTTTAAGGGCATTTATTTGGAGATATAATTTGCAGTGGTCCCAACCCTGGTCCTTGTTGAACGCCATCCTGCATGTTTTAGTTGTTTCTCTGCTCCGACACACCTGATTTTAATTAATGGATAATTAACAGGCTTCTGTAGAACACGGGACGTAATTAAATCACAAATCAGGTGTGTTGGAGCAGGGAAACAACTAAAACATGAAGGATGGTGTTCCTCAAGGACCAGGGTTGGGAACCCCTGGAGAGCCTCAAATTAGCATGTAATCTATATTTCTATATTCTTTAACCCAGTTGTTGTTGTGCTGTGTTCATACAAATATACCAACCAACATGTCCTCACTGATTTTGTTGCACATGACTGAGGACTGTAGCAACTGCACAAAACAGAGCTCCCTTAAAGTGTTGCAGTGATTTTCCTAGTAAGCCCTGTCGGCCATGTCTTTGAGACCAAACAGATTTATTCCTAATCCTAATTTGGGGCTGAAGACATGCTGTACATTTTAAGCAGTGAACTTTGTCAGCTTGGTTCCTGTATGATATTAAGTTCATACAGAAAGCATCACTGCAGATCCTCATGGCGCCTTGCTGCTGTAAGCTCCTATTGGTAGCTTCTTCCCTGCTGTAATTACCACCCTGTAATTGCTCTGCACTGTCCCTCTACCTCGCCCCGCTGTCCCGTTCAGGCCTGAAGACCATCGTGGGCGCCCTGATCCAGTCAGTGAAGAAGCTGTCGGACGTGATGATTCTCACCGTGTTCTGCCTCAGCGTCTTTGCCCTGATCGGCCTGCAGCTTTTCATGGGCAACCTGAGGCAGAAGTGCATGCGCATCTTGAACAACACCAGCAGCAGCAATGACACCGACATGAACCTGCTGGGCTTCAACACCACCTTCAACTGGACAGAGTACATCAACGATGAGCGTAAGCCGAGTGAAATGGCACGAAAGCGATGCCGAAAGGGGGTTAACTGGGGTCAAGTTTGCACCTAAGTCAGACGCCGGCTTCTTCATAGGGTAGCAGTGGCGGTTGGTGTTAGAGGAGGTCACTGGTTTACTGCCGTGATATGGAGAGACAGGTTGGCTTGGAGCACGCTCTCCAACAGAGGCTGTTGGGGAAAAACGAGGCAAATGTGGCGGATAATCGGCACAACAACGCAAGCCTGACGTGAGATTGGTTGACATGAGCCACCTGAAGTGCCAGAGGAGAGTGAGTCACTGACCATTAGAAGGCTCTAGAGGCGACATGCAGAAGCTATGCGACGAGCTGACGTAGAGTCAAGACAAGACGGATAGGGTTGATTAAAATGACATTGTTCTGGAGCGTGGCGCCTCAATGGCCTCAGATTTTGAGTGCATTGACTGTAAAGTTCTTCTAGCTTCACAAGAAGACTGAATGCAGATGGGTGTAACAGCAAATGGAGATAAGCCACTAGATGCATGTTGTTTTTCTTAATCTGCTGCTTCTGTGCTGTGATGTGGCTCTGACTGACCATCCCTCTGTCTCTCCCTCCCACCTCTACTTTAGGTAATTACTATTACCTTCCTGGCCGTAGGGATGCACTGCTATGTGGAAATGGCAGTGGTGCAGGGTAAGGCTTGACATGTTTTATTTATATGGACAATTAAATGCATCACAGAGCTCAGCATACCCAATTAGTGTCGACTGCAGCCACCACGCCAGGCCTTTCAAGAATCTAAACTACAGTGTGGCTGCTAGCATCATTTCTTGTGGTATACAAAACTTGGTCTTCACTTGTAAACAGGAAAAGAAGTCACACCGTTTGCTCAACAGGTGACAAGAATCTGCCAAATTTTATACTGATTGGCGTGGTAGCTGTTGGTAATATCTGTAAGGTGTTTAAAAAGACAGAGGAGGCATGAGAGGCGTATGCCCTCAAGACAATGAAAGGTTTTTCCAATGCTTTATTCCTCAATAACATAAGACATACAACATTGGTCCAGTAGATGTTTAAGGGTACACCAAAGGAAACAAACAAAAACCAAAAGATAGCTTTTCTTTACCTAAAAATATACCAGTCCAGAGGGAAAAACAAACCATCCCTGTACATTAGGAGGCAAGTCATGTACAGCAAAGTAGGTTTTGTCAACACTTCTTCTTCCTTCTTCTTTCGGTTGTTTCCTCTTCAGCAGTTTGCCACAGCAAGTCATCCTCCTCTATCTTGAACTGTCCTCTGCATCCTCTGTCCTGACTCCCATCTACCTCCATGTCCTCTCTTACTGCATCCATGTATCTACCAATTTACCAATGGTCCCACCTCTGGACATGTCCAAACCATCTCAGGCTGGTCTCTCTAACTTCATCTCCCTTGTTCAACCTGTGTTGTACCTTTCATTCCTAATCTTATCCATCCTTGTCATTCCCAGGTCTGATGACTCAAATTCAAACAGTCCGATTAGTTAACAACTAGTTAAAAACTGAACTGAATGCATGTCTGTATATAAATAAGCATAGAAATGGATATAATGGCTATTTATGCCAACAAGCAGGATGAAAGTTTAACATCAAATATGTTCAAGCTGACAATAAAAATGGGTATTAGCAGAAAGTATCATAATAAACTTTGTACATCTTTTTTGTCCCTCGTCGTGCAGCGAACAGGGGAACTGGAATTAACTCCCATTCATCCGCCTGTTTGATAGTGTGAGCTGGATGAGTTAAGAAAAAAGCAATGCGCTCACTTCCATTTTGGTGTGTGGCTGCATCTAGGCATAAGAAAGGTTGCAATCAAAAGTTGGGTTGCCACGTCAAACTCCAAGATGGCCGCACCCCTATACAGTAGTCCCTCGCTACTTAGCGGTTCGACTTGCGCGGACTCGCTCTTTCGCGGTTTTTCAACGTATTGATGGATGAGCCATACGAGCGGCATGGATTGTTTATTTCAAATAAATTATTTTTAAATGATTTGGCACCAATGTGCAGCCCACAGGTGCAGGGAGACGCTTCCTCTGCAGCTTGTCACGATCTCTGCTCTCAGCCACATGCGGCTCTCTGCCACGCCCACATTTCTCCTCCGGCTGAAGCAGCTTGGTGAAGGGTTAACCCTTTGCTGTCTAGTGGCACTGATCGACTTTTGTCTTCGAACTTAAAATTCAAAGTTTGTCACATCGTAAAATCGTCATAATCACAAAATATAAGTGTTAAAAGTTATTTTTTAATTATTTTAGAACTTCTATGTTCAGTTGTTACAGTGTAATTGATCAAGAAGTACATTTCTGCTCCGTGCTGCTGCTGCGTGAAGGGTTAACCCTTTACCGTCCTACTGCACTTCTCTACAGTTTAAATTTAAATACTGTAATATTTTAAATAACCCATGAATTGATTGTTTATTTAAAATATTACTGTATTTAAATTTTAATTGTTTATTTACACAGAAGGTGGAAGATTGGAACAAAAACTTGAACTTGGACTACTGTATCCCTACTTCGCGGTTTTTCACTTATCGTTGGGGGCGTGGTCCCCTAAACCCCATGATAAATGAGGGACTACTGTATGTATGTGTGTGTGTGTGTGTGTGTGTATATATATATATATCAATAACCGATATAAATATGTTTTTTTCTTCCCTAGACCTACCTACAGAGACTACATAGCTTTCTCTGCTGTGGAATTAAAATACTACATTATTCTGCATGGTCTTTGTCAGTTTGATCTGCTACCAAATGCAGATGCCATAAAGGGGCTGAAAATGACGTAACGGTTCAACTTGGATTATGTTTAATGTCAAAGTTATTCATGAAATTTACTCGGTCTCTAACACAATGACAACACTTGAACAATGCAACTTTGTAATTTTTCACAAATCTAAACTCAGCCTGTCCACAAGTACATGTGAAAAACGCATAAGTAGTAGTGCAATAATAGATATACATGTCAATTTCTTAAATTAAAAATTAACTTAAAACAGTACCTTTTATATCGGTGAGTTATTTTGATGGAATGGCCAATGTCCGATATTTAACTTTATCGCTAATATCGACCGATACCATGACGATAATATCGTGCATCCTTAATATATATAGATCAGCTCCCTTGGTGGGGGCGCTCTTCATATTATTATTATTATTTTTTTTTTTTTTTGGTCGACCGGGTGTGGGGAGACGGGACTGAGTCCTAGTTGCCGGTTTTTATCGACGAGGATGTGGGGGGTCAGCAGGTCGGCGCCATCGGTTCTTGAACATTCGTCTGTGTGACCCGCGTCACTTTTTTCTGCTGTCGTAGAAGTTATTGTATCTGGTAGTTTTTCTGTTATTTTGATGTTGTTTAAGGAGCTTCGCTAATTTTTTTGTGGGTAACATTGCTTTCTGTAACGTAAAGTAGCGAAAGTTTCTAACGATAGACACTGGGTGGGGGTGGAGCCCTGTACGTTAGTAGCCACTCCGCGCTACATCGATAGTGACAGTTGGGGGGGGGGGGGGGGGTAGCGGAGTGTTACGTCAGTAGCACTTTTGCCAAGACATTTGTATTGCGCTACATCAATACCGGTAGGCAGGGCACTCAGTTTTGTTGATGAGGTGGGGCGCCCCTCTTGTGTAATTGCAAGGGAGACACTAGTGTGTAAACCACCCACCCCATTCATAAGAGGAAACAGCTTTTTAGTTTTTTTACTGCTTAAAAGTATAATTTCTTCAAATTATTGGGGTGACCAAAGCCACCAATGGCCACCTCCTGGCTCCGCCGTTGTGGTGGTAGATAAAATTGCTCCCTCTGCTCACCAGGATCTATCACTCTGCGCTACCTTCGACAGTGAATCAACATCGCAGTAACTCAAATATATTCCCTTTCCATGTCTTTATCAGCAAAGACTTAATGTAAGACTTCATTCCTTGTCAAAAACTTTCTCTAAACTTACATCAGTTCAGTGCAGCTAAAGACCATGACTGATTCAGCGTTTGTTTTGTTTTCTTTCTTGCATTTAGTACCAGTAGCTGCTCCATTTGAACATCTCACACCAAAAACATTAAGGTTTTCTCACAGTACCTGTTCAACTTCAGTCCCAAAAACACTCATCACCAAAACTGCAAGCATTCACTCTTCGAAGTTCTCTGTGACGGGGAACATTTGTTCTACCACCAGTTAAAATCTAGTTTTATTTATAGGGTCATTAAAAAGGTGTCTGCTTTGAAATTAAGTAAATTCAACCTCAGATGAACAACAGATGAAATATTACACAGTATCCATGTACCAAGCAGCTATTAATAATTAGACGTACTAAGAGGAGAAATTACAAAGGAATCCAACAACTCAACATAATAATTTATTTTTACTCACTGAATGTTTTGATTGTCCTAAATAAATTAAAGCGTATAGCCTCCTAGCATGTCACTACATATAGAACTGTACGTTGTAGTTTAAAGACCTTCTGTCTCTTGAAAAGGCTCTGTCCGGAGGGCTTCATGTGTATCAAAGGGGGTCGTAATCCAGACTACGACTACACGAGCTTCGACACCTTCAGCTGGGCCTTCCTGTCTCTGTTCCGACTAATGACTCAGGACTTCTGGGAGAACCTCTACCAGCAGGTTGGTGGAATTGTGCACCATGTCTGGGATGTTTCTTTGAGATCAATATGTCTGATCCCTTGCTCAGTTTGTAACCACAGTGTTTGTATATCTTCTTCCTTGTGTCGGGTACGTCAGACCTTGCGTGCGGCGGGGAAGCCCTACATGATCTTCTTTGTGCTGGTGATATTCCTGGGCTCCTTCTACCTCATCAATCTGATCCTGGCTGTGGTGGCCATGGCATATGACGAGCAGAACCAGGCCACCATTGAGGAGGCTCAGCAGAAGGAGGAGGAGTTCCAGGCCATGTTGGAACAGCTGAAGAGACAGCAGGAGGAAGCTCAGGTAGGCTTTTCCATACTTCCATGTATTTCATCTGAGTTTCGTAGGTGGGTTGCTCCGTCCTGTTGACAGGACGGGGCGCCCTCCTTTGATAATGGTAGGAGAACACTGAATCTGACTGGAAATGTTGGTCGAAAATGCACAAGTAAGCAAAGCACATGAGGGATTTTGTTTATTTGTTGAGCTTGCAGAATGCTTCAGTTGATGTTTGGTCTCTGCTGGGAAGCCAGCGTTGCCTAGGAGACGTGGGGGATTTAATGTTGGGGATGACAGACACCCTCTGCTGCTCCTTTTGTGCTCAAGGCTCTCCCACTCGACCTAAAGAGATAAACACAGAGTCCAAGAGAAGCTCCACATAGCAGGACTGTGATTTAACTGGCTGTTTTTTTGACTGAGCTCATTGTAGTTGGGGAGAGTCTTCTTCTTCTTTTGGTTGCTTCTTCTTTAAGGGTCACCACAACAAGACATCCTCCTCTGTCTTTGTTCTCTGCATCCTCTGTCCTCACTCCAACTACCTCCATGTCCTCTCTAACTGCATCCATATATCTCCTCTTTGTTTTTCCTGGCAGCTGCATTTCTAACATCCTTCTACCAGTATACTCACTGTCCCTCCTCTGGACATGTCCAAACCATTTCAGTCTGGCCTCTCTAACTTTATCTCCCAGTTGTTCATCCTGTGCTGTACCTCTGATGATCTCATTCCTGATTATTTGGAGACAGTAGCATTGACAAAAGGAGCTGGAAGTGGCAGAGCTGAAGACGATGAGTGACAGACCTGAGTGTTTGTGTGAAATCAAGAAATAAATTAAACTTTTATCTGAATCGTTTCAAAGCAAATCCGGTAAAATATTCATTGTAGGTGGAGAAAACAATAAATTTCACCATTTGATGACTTCCAGAAGTAAGTCATCAAATGACTTACTCCACAAGGATGTGTCCTGAGCCCCCTACTTTATCCTCTACTCTTGTAGGATCTAAGTATAGGGGAGGTAGTTGTGCTTACTGATTGGTGTAGATCAGTTCAAAACTGACCAACAGCAGCCTTCTTCTACTAGAGGACATTTACACCAGCAAAACTAGAGCAAAGAACATTAGGATGGACCCCACCCATCTTGCTTATTCCCTCAGGCATAATGTTGGGCACCTGCAAGTCCAGAACAAGACTGAGAAACAACTTCTGCCTTAAAGCTGTGAGACTCATGAACTCTGTATCTTTAGTTGATCTCTGGACGGTCTTATGTGTTCATTAATAACTTTAGGTTGAAGGAGGGTGTTATATAACGTTCTACAAAACATCCATTCATCCATTATCTTCCACTTGTTCCGAAGTCAGGTCACAGGGGCAGTAGCTTGATCATTAAGGCCCAGACATCTCTTTCCACAGCCACCTCTTCCAGCTCTTCTGGGAGGACCCCAAGGTGTTTCTAGGTCAGCTGAGAGACTCCCTCTCTCCAGTGAGTCTTGGGTTTTCCCCATGGTTTCCTCCCAGTCAGACATGCCCGGAAAACCTCTCTAGGGAGGCATCCAGGCGGCGTCCATACCAGATGCTCCTTGGTAAGGATTTTTTAGTGTAGTATCTTTACTTCAGATGGAGCATTGCAAACTGTGGAGGGATGCTCCACCTGAGTCAGGATTTGGTCTTTGGTGAGAAGTTAAAATATCTGGGAGTCTTGTCCACAAGTGATGGCAAGATAAATTGGGTGATGGACCAAAGGATGGGGTCTTCATTCGCTAAAATGTGAGCATTGCTCCAATCTGCTGTAGAGAATAGATAAAACTGAACCAAAAAGCTAAGCTCTAATCCATTTCCATTTCAACCACCCACTCCATGGTCAGGATAAAAAAAAATAGTGTCTTGATACAATCAGTTGAAGTGAGCTTCCTCTGTAGGGTGGCAGGGCTCTGTTTTAGAGATGAGTGAGGAGCTTGGTCATCCAGACTGAGCTTGGAGTAGACCTGCTGCCTCTTCATGTTGAAGGGAGCTGGTTTTTCAGGCATGTCCCAGTGTTAGGAGCCACTGTGTTAGATGACCAGCAAGTGAGGTCAAGGTTCTTTATTGTTATTCGCACCGCATGTGGTACATGTTGTGGAATGAATTGAGACCAAGTTTTCTGACACTGGGCAGCACATTCTGCTCTAGAATGCCTTGATAGTCTTGAGATTTCATTGTACCCTGCACAGATTTAAGACACCCGGTGTCAGATGCTGCAAAACAGAACAGAACCTCCTCCATGTTCCACAGTTGGCACAGGGTTCTTTTCTCCATTTCATTATTGGCACCATGAACACAGAGTTGATGGGACTTGTTGTCAAAAAGCTCCAGTTTCGTCTCATCTGTCCGAAGGACATCCTCCCAGAAGATTTGTGACTTCTCATTATGCATTTTGACAAATTACAGCTTCATGTTTTGTGATTTGGTGTTAACTTCAGTCTTATTTCATTAGGTCCATTTTGGCTCACAGACCAATGATAAGATCTGACACTAATGAACCTTGACCTTTGACTTCACCTCTAATCCCCATGTAAACCATGTGTATTATAGGTCTCTTCAATTTTCCTCTTGTGGACATGTCCAGGAAGAGGGTAACTGGTCCAGAAAGGAAAACCCAGACACCCATCTTCCTGAAAGATCCCAAGATGTTCCCAGGCTAAAGAGGACATATGATCCTTTCAAGTTCTGTGTCTGTCTTGGGGTCTTCTACCAGTGGTCCTTGAGGAACACCATCCTTGATGTTTTAGTTGTTTTCCTGCTTTGACACACCTGATCTGAATGAACAGATGACAGAACTTGAAGTAATTAAATCACTGAACCAGGTGTGTTGGAGCAGTGAAACGACTAAAGCATGCAAGATGGTGTTCCTCAAGGACCAGTGTTGGGAACCACTGGTCTTGCAGAAAATGACCCAAAACTCAGGCTCAAAATGGCTCAGAACCAAACATTGGAGTGCTCTGAAGTTCTGAGCCCTGATTTAAATCCTGTAGAAATCTGTGGAAGGCCTTGAAACATCTGGAGAAAGAACCCGTCAAACCTGAGACACTGAGGAGTGGACCAGAATACCTGAGGACAGGTGCAGACGTCTCAAATTTACAGAAGTCACTTGTTGACTCAAAAGCTTGGGCAACAAATGACAAGTTAATATACATCCTTTTAGTCGAGGCCATTTTATTAATTTGTTCTTTTTTTTTTTCTGTTTTTGATGCATCAAAGCTGTTCCCTTCTCAGCTGCGGTGCTCTTCTTTGGTTTCCCTTCAGACCTCCACCTCTGCTCCATCCATTAATGGTTTAACCATCTTATCAGGGGGCGTGCACGTTCAGATTCGACTTTTAAATCTTTGTACTGGTCACACCCCTCGTTGTGTTGTCATTTACGAATGATTTCACTTTTTAAAAACATAAGCTCGTTTATGTGTTTTTCTTCTTATAGTTCTTGTTTTTTAAAAGAAGCAGTATTTTCAGGAACTCTCCGTCCACTCAGTGAATCTTATAAATGTAGGATAAAAACATTCAGACGTCCATTTTTAGCAGCGTCTGAGTCCTGTTTGGCTGTTCGCATTCATGCTGCCAGCCTCTCTCCTCCGCCTCTGAGACACAGGCACTCGGGTCACCATGACGACCGTCTCTGTGCTCCGATTGGCTGACAGGTTGCCGCGGCAGCAGCGGCCGCGGAGAGCGGCGAGTACAGCGGGAGAGGGGCCCCCACCTCGGAGTCGTCCTCGGGGACGTCCAAGCTCAGCTCGAAAAGCGCCAAGGAGCGACGCAACCGGCGGAAGAAGAGGAAGCAGCGGGAGGAGGAGGAGAGGGACGGGCGCGACAAGTTTCACAAGTCCGAGTCCGAGGACAGCATCAAGAGGTCCAGCTTCCGCTTCTCCATTGACGCCAACCGGCTGTCTTATGAGAAACGATGCTCCTCACCCAACCAGGTAAAGTCTAACTTGACACCGCAGGTAAATAAAAAGTTTTCTATTTGGTTTTTACACTTCCTAACATGGAAGATGCTCAGTTTAGCCAAGCATAAACAGACTCACGGAGTCAATATGACTTTGTTTTTGTACAGAATAAACTGAGACTGTTGTCACCATAACATACATCTCTGTTAAAACATGAGTGAAGAAACAACGCATATATTTAAAAATCCATTTTAAAAAAATCCTTCTGAAAGCCTGGATATACATAGAGGTAAATAGTAGCCGCAGTTATCTTGAATTGGGTTAATTCCAAAGGTTCACCAGATGTATACGAACACCAAATCATTACTTCCTGGCAGTGTCATTGAAATCCCTTCAGTGGTTCATGAGATATTTCGCTAACAGACAGTGTAAACTCCAATAGTTAATGCCAAAAATGCAACCAAAGATCTTCCTTGATCTCTTTGCACTTAAAGAACATGTTGGAGGACACTCTCAGCTACTACCAAACTAAATTTTAGCTCGTTTTTTCTGAAATTGACTGAGTTGTTGTCATTTTTGTGTCGGCAAAAGTTGATTAGCTGTGGCAGCCACCTTAAATCAAGTCTACTCCGAACATTAAACAGTTGTAAAAATACATCCATTGATTTGCATTAAAATGTATGTGTGTGTGTTATATATATATATATATATA